ACCAAAGCAAAAGGAATAAAATTAAATAATTCAAAAATGTGAATTCATGAGGAGTAAATCTATGATTAGTCGTACCTAAATTAGCAAGAGAATCAGTCGGCCAATTCATCAAACATCATCTATGCTTTTTACATCTTGACTGTCGAACTTCATACAGATCCATGGCCTCGTCTTTATGGACCCATCATGTAATAACTAGAAGAAGAAGAACAAAAAATTTGATTCTGAAATCGGTAAATATAATCACCTTCAACAGAGAGATTAGAAATCAAAATTGATAAATTAGGATTTGCCTACCAGATTATGACGCAAGATTTGGAAGGAATCTGGAAGATGGAGTGTATGCGATGATCTCGGGAAGATGAAGATGGGATTGAGAGAGAGAAACTGATTTCAATGTAAAATACCTCCTTACCCTTTATAAGATGCGTAGATGATGAATCATAGGGGCTTAATCCAACGGTGCATAATTATTCTTATTTCTTTCATTAGATCTTATTCTTATTTGAACCAAAATCTATATATATATATATATATATATATATATATATATATATATATATATATATATATTAGTGTTGATCGACTTTCCAAAAATACTCTTGAATGTGAGGTGTAAAAATAGGATGTGATGTGATACATATGTTAAGATGAATTGGTAGGGGTAGGAGTGACTTTTTAATAGAAATGAGAATTTTTTGGGGACGGATGAAAAAAGAAATGAGAAAGGTTTTGTAGGACAGAAAAGTATTTGATACGAATATCGTATTGGATAGGGAAGAACTTCAAGCGTTCTTCAAGCTCCAGAAGAATAGAAGAGAAAAAGATGAAAAACTTTAAGGGTATGTTTGGTTGGAGGTAGGTAAAAGTTTTATTAGGTAGGTAATGGAAGGTAATTGAAGGTAGGTAACGTAAGGTAACAAGTTAAAAAATTGTGTTTGGATGTTTATTAGGTAATGTGAGGTAGGTAGAATAACAAATTTACTTATATACCCTTGTTTTTTTACTTAAAAAAACAAAAAAATCGCAAAAATAAAACGAAAAAAAGGGAAAACAGCAAAAACCCAAAAAACTCAAAATCAAAACCGAAAAAAAAACCCATAAAAAACCAGAGAAAAAAGTCACAGCATGATATTTCAATGAATAAACAACAGGAAAAAAGAGAAAAAATCAGCAAAAAAATGTGAAAAAAGTTGATAAGGGAATAAGTGGGGAGAAAGCAAAATCGAAAAAAATACAAAGTATAAAAATTGCATCAATTGCAAACATTCTACTTCAACAAAAATTGAAATAAATACAAAATTTTTTTAACATCAATTTCAAACATTTATTTAAACAAAGAACAAAAAATACAGAAAAAAAAAAATTCTTGCATCAATTTCAAACTTTCTAATTCAACAAACAAAGAAAAATTTCTTTTACATCAATTTCAAAGATCCAATTTTAACAAATAGCAAATAAAAACAGAAAAATGGCGAAAAATAAATGACAAAAAGAAAACTGGAAAAAAGAAAAAAACCAGAAAAAAAGAGAAAAAATGCATTATTTTAATGGCAAAAAAAGTATAAAAACCTTACCGGATATGAAGATAGGCCATGGCAGATGATGATTTGAGATCCAAAGAAGAAGAAGAAAAGAAGAAGATGAAAAGGAAAAAGAAGAAGAAGAACCGTGGATGGGAGGAGGCCAGGGAGAGCTGCGCTGGAGTAGAAGAAAAAACGGAAGAGAAGTAAAGAGATGGGCAGGGGAAGGAAGGCGTAAATTTTACCTCACTTGACCGCACAATCGGCGGGCGCATATATTCCACTGTTACGCGGTTTCTTTACCTTCCCTCACCTCCATTTACCTACCTCTATTTCCTCTTCCAAACAAGGTAAATTTTAATCTTACCTTATTCTACCTCTACCTCCCTCCATCCAAACACAGTGTAAGCGTTTCCGAGCTCCAAGAGAATAGAGAAAGAGATTAGGATTTTGATTATTCTTTATTGATTGAATAATAATAATACGAGAGTACAATATATAGAGATACGAGAAAACCTAATTAACCTAATGGGCTTGGGCCCCATACTAAAACCTAATCATGAGTACCTATATAATACTACTAATTAATAAATAACTAATTAAATAATATAATTCATCTTCTGTATCATTTCCTCACCCTTAAAAAGCCACCTAGTCCTCAAGGTGGAAGTTCACACTCGTGCTTCTAGATAAAAGGGAAAGGGTTCAGCCAAAGAAGATCCCCACCTGGTGACCCATCATTACAAATCTCGATAATTGAAGCGTAACAGAGGATAGTTGAGGCAAAACCAAACAGGTGGCGGACTACCCGCAAGGGAGCTAGGTATTCAAACTTTTCAATATCATCAAGGTCAAACAACTTGTGGGTATCCAATGAAATTGAGTTGTCAACTTTGGGAAACTCTTCATCCGCTACTTTGTCTTTACATCTTGAAACTTTATACTCCGCAATGAACACATCAATCGAGGTATCTATATCCTGAAAAGTAGGATCGGGCTTGTAGTTCTTAGCAACATCTTCATGGTTACGATCATCATCAATTACTTCCATAGTGTTGGGCTTCCCGTTATCTTCATTCATGGCTTCAAATACACTGCTCACCTCATTTTCATCACATGGTCCAGTGCTGAATTTTGTTGATCCAAGTGCATCCTCCATAGTCGGGGTAGGTAGTGTGGTGGTGTCTTCCACCTGGTGAACAAATATGTCTATAACCTTCTTTGTTGTCTTCTCAAAACAAATATAATCCAAATCATGTAGTGGAGCAAATCGAATCTTGAACTTTTCAACAAAATCTGCCCAACCATCAATTAAGCCGTCACGCATACGCCAATTAAACCAAGCCAAGGCAGAGCCCTCTAACATTGATGTCACACGGTTCAACGATCAACTAAAGGGACTTCATAAAACTGGAAACACTCACATACCGTAGCTAACCACTGCACGGGTTTGGTTCCGTCACATCTTAGGGGCAACGTTGGTGGAGAAGGTGCACCTGTCACTTTCCGTATAATACCCCTAATGTGTGCTCTGAAAATTTGTAACTCAAAAGGAATTTGACTTGGCACAATTGGAGGTCTTCGAACCAAATCCTGTACCGAGCTAAAAATTTCTACGTCGAGCGCATCATAATCAATTTGACCTTTAAATTTATGGATCGACCTGAGCTTCATAATAATTTCATACACATGATCAAAAATCAAACACACCCTTTCATCATACACAATTTCTCCATAAAGAACCTCCTCTAGCAAACCAAGAAGTCCGTCCAACGCATAGTCCATTATCAAAATTAACACCACCACACAAAAATATCACAAAAATACTCCTAAATTATCCAAATTACCTGAACAAACTCGAGCAAATATTGGATCCACAATTGTGTTTGGCTATTAGTGATGCAATTTTGACAGCCAAATTAGTGGGCAGAAACAATACTCAAAAGTCTGAGTGGAGAACTTTTGTAGTTGAAAAAATACTCCCTTATGCACCAATTAGTGGGCCGCACCAAATAAATCACAAAGGGGATCAATTGGATATCTCAAATCACTGTGCCAGCCCTCCAAAACCTCAGAATCCTGCGCCCAAGATGATTGTGAGAAGCAGCAGGAATAGGGGGGTGCGACTGTGGTGATTTTCACGGCAGCAGATGGAGATGACGATAGCCGTAGAAATTTTTGATGCGGCTGTGGTGATTTTTTTGTTTTTTTTTGGATTTTTTTGGGTTGGCCTACAAATCTGAGGGAACAAAACACACTAGGGCGACGATAGAAAACACAACTAGGATGACGGCCAAGCCTCTTCTGATCACGATCGAAGTAGTGATGCTCATTGAAGTTTTTTTAGTGTTCAATTAAATGAAAGCACCAATTGATACGAATATCGTATCGGATAGGGAAGAACTTCGAGTGTTCTTCAAGCTCCAGAAGAATAGAAGAGAGAAAGATAGAAAACTTCAAGCGTTTCCGAGCTTCAAGAGAATAGACAAAGAGATTAGGATTTTGATTATTCTTTATTGATTGAATAATAATAATACGAGAGTACAATATATAGAGATACGAGAAACCCTAATCAACTTAATGGGCTTGGGCCCCATACTAAAACCTAATCATGAGTACCTATATAATACTACTAATTAACAAATAAGTAATTAAATAATGTAATTCATCTTCTGTATTGGCGGACGTATCATCGTTATAAATTGTAATTTGTATCATTATCATTCAATCAATCTATAATCAAGAATTATCTTAATCTCGTTCTCTTTTCTCTAGAGTCTAGAAACGCTCAAAGTTTTCACGTTTCTCTACCTCTTTTTCTTGGAGCTTGAAGAACGCTCGAAGTTCTTCCATATCTGATACGATATTCGTATCAACTTATCAAAAAACAACATATCTGCCGTCGCCCTAGCCAATTGTTGTTGATACCACTGCCAGTTGTTGTAACAGCCGAGGATTTACTCATATTTCAACCGCCTCACAACATCTATTTCGCTGCCATCTTGGAAGTGGGTGCCACCCCACTTTTGCTAATTCATCACTATCCCCTCTTGCAAATAAAAAGAGAGAAATTCGTAGCAGCAGTAACCGTGCCAAGTTTGGGAGTCCGATTCCAATTAAGCAGCTTTGGAAAGAAAACTACAGAGAATTGGATTGCTCCTTTCAAGATCACTTAACTTTGCACAGCCGCAAAAAAAAGAGAGGTTGAAGCAAATTGCAAATCAACAAACCCGGGACAAAATAGTGGATCGCCGCCACCAACAACAACAAAAAATCGAAAGGTTTATGCCGCCGCTACAAAATTGTTTTTGACGCCAACCAGATTCATATTTTGTCAAATGGAGAAGGGTTTTTCCTTCCAAATGGAGGCACAATTCAAGCGGTTAAAGGCTTTGATTATTTGTACCGGTGCATTGGACAAACTTATTGATTTGTTGGAGAATGTTCTTTATGGTGAAATTGAGCACAATGAAGGAGTGTGCACACTTTACGATTACATTGATGAAATGATAACGAATCTTCGATCATTTCGTCCTATTGAAGGTCAGTCAAATTATGATTCGGACTTACATGCATTTGACATTGAAATCTCTTGCGTGATACAGGATTTGGTTCGTGGTCCCTCAGTTTTGCCAATTTTGATTCCCTTGGAGTTACAAAATTTCAGAACAAACATGATGAACGCCATCTGGAACCTCATTAATGCCCCGCTTTCTCCACCCAATTTGGCTCAGATGGTCACTGTACAAAATACTAAGTCTCATGAAAAGGAATCAAAGGATGACTGAAGCGTAGAATCGCATGTAGGGGATGACATGGATAGTGGGCCTGAACTCATGGATGAAGATGACGAGAGGTCGAACTCCGTGGGGAATAATAAAGGTGATATTTCAGAAGATATTTTTAATGTGGACACCTTACATCTTCCATCACGTGAATGTTATGATCCAATCAATGCCTCAACTTGTGTGGTCGTTGCTGAGCTTGCCCTTCTAGAAGGTGTCAACAAGGTAGCAGATGCAGATAATAAGCAAGCAAACAACCCAATTTCATTTGACATCATTAAGTTGTTTGACATTGTTGATGCGGTCATGACAAAGCACCTGGTTTCACTTCGAGCAACTACATATGCTGCAAGAGCCAAGATGGTTGAAGATTCAAAGAGTGGACTCCTCCTTTGGTTCAACATTCTTTCTTTGGTCTTAAAGCACGAGTGAGAGCCTCTACCTTGAGGACAAGGTGGATTTTAAGGGGGTGAGAATGATACAGATAGTTAATTAGAATACTTTAATTAGTTATATTATTATTTAGAAGTTATTTATTACTCCCTCCGTTTCCTAAAATGGTTCTTGTTCTGACTTTGGGGCAAAATAAAGAAAGTGTAATTTTAGTTGACTTTCCAATTTTGCCCTTGATGTGATGGGTAAAAGTAAGATGTGATAGTTTAGTTATTAGTGAAAAAATATGATGTGATAGGTAGGGTATGAAAAAGTAGGGGTAAAAGTGGTTTTTTAATAGAAAAAGGAAGTGTTTTAAGAAAAACAAAAAAAGAAAGAGGAAGGGTTTTAAGAAACAGAGGGAGTATTACTTATTAATATGCTATAGATTAGGGTTTTTGTATGGGCTCGAGCCCATTAGGTCATGTAGGTGGACGTCTCATCGTTATATATTGTAATCTCGTATCATTATCATTCAATCAATTAATAATCAAGAATTATCTTAATCTCGTTCTCTTTTCTCTAGAGCCTGGAAATGCTCGAAGTTTTCCACCTTTCTCTACCTCTTCTTCTTGGAGCTTGAAGAACGCTCGAAGTTCTTCCATATCTGATACGATATTCGTATCGGTATTACTCTTTTCATCCTAATTTAAATCGCTTATTTTGATTTATGATGTTTAAAAGAAGTTTTTGTAATGTAATTTATTAAAGAATTAGAGCGAAATTGAATAATAAACTTTACATATTAACAAAATATCAAAAGGTCTATGAAATAAGAGATGACATGACAATATTATTTTATCAATTGAATAATGAAAATAGGGCTAGAAAGTGAATCACATTTGATCCCGTGAATAGTTAACATGCAACTTAGGCAATCTTTTTTTGAACATTAACTCTTAACTTCCAACATTTTCTAACTTTTTGAGTTTCTTCCAATCTTTCCATTTTTTCTCTCTTTCCATTTTCTTTCAACTTCTTCTAGTTTCTTCCAACTTCTTCAAAATTTTTCAATTTTTTTTCATTTTTTCTAACTTCTTCCAATTTCTTCCATCACTGACATTAAAAAAATTATTTAATCTTATTTTTATATTATTATTATTATTATCTCAATAAAATAAAAATTGATTTAATATCACAATTCATTATAAAATTGTGTCCTCAATATAAGTTTTAGTTATGCATCTTCTAGGCGACAGAGAGTAACCTATGGTGCAACTCCTCCTCCGACGATTTAGGCATGGTGTTGCAGCGTTGGCCACCGACGAGATCGAAGGAGTAGAGATGACATCCGAGGGAGAAAGAGAGAGTGATGGAGATTAGATTGAGAATGAAAGGTGGGGGATGGGTTATGCATTGAGAGGGAAGGGTGAGTGTATATGGTGTACAAGATGGGGTACACCAGTGGTGTATCCCTAGCACAGCCGTAGAGCAATGCTACGGGTACACCAAAGGTGTACCCCAAATGTACACCACTCCCTTTTCCACCACTCATTTTTATTTGATTTTTATATATGTATTTTTTTTGAATTTCTTGCCCATTTATGTGGACAAAGAGGGAGTAGGGAACAAATGGAGTACATCTTTGGTGTACTCCTAGCATTTTTCCCGTAGCTATCAGCCCAAGGGAAACCACCCACGAGTGGACTTTTCCTTTAAAATATTAATTCTCTCACGTGTAAAATTTTTGCAAGATTGTGATTGGTTCGTATGCCTTCTCATTGATAGGTGAGTTTCTCATTGAAACTAAGCTATCCCACTTGCAAATAAATATTTAAAAGGCGGGTACATACTACATAGTACATACATACTCGTATGATTTTTTGGGTTAAACTACAAGGATCAAGCTATTTGTACCCCAAAGACATACAGTGACATTTTGTGTTAGTGTGATAAATTACATGGACAAAAAATGTCAGTTTAAATTTTTTTAATTGAACTAACATTTTTTGCCAGTGTGAACCGTTAAAATATAGGTGCATTTTTTAGGGTACACTTTTAGTGTAACCCTAGCATGGTTGTAAAGTACAATCCTGTGAGAGTTTATAAAATACCCAATTAATAAGGACCGCGAATATAATATTTGATAAATATAGACTAAATATAGAAATACCCAGTTATAAAGGACTATTTAGGAAATTTATTCTTTTTAAATCACTTTTAATATAAAAATTA